GCTGTGGGGCGGGGGGCGGGCGGGCCTGGCCGGGCCCGGGGAGCAGCGCCAGTTCATCTGCAGCGAGTGCGGCAAGTGCTTCTCGTGGTGGTCGGCGCTGACCATCCACCGGCGCATCCACACGGGCGAGCGGCCCTACCCGTGCCCCGACTGCGGCCGCCGCTTCAGCCAGAAGCCCAACCTGACGCGGCACCGGCGCAACCACACGGGCGAGCGGCCCTACCTGTGCGCCGCCTGTGGCCGCGGCTTCAGCCAGAAGCAGCACCTGCTCAAGCACCAGCGCGTGCACCGGGCGACCCTGGCGCCCACCCCTAGCGCCAAGGACGAGACGCTTTAGTGAGCCTGGACCCAAGTGCACCGTGGTGGGGAGCGGGGAGAATGGCCAGAAATGTTGGCTTTTAGAACCCCAGAGCGTAAGCCCCTATCAAAAGGCTCTGAGGGCCTGAGAACAGAATTCCAGAAGCATCCCAAAGGGGGACTGGAAAAGGTCCCCCGTGGCCTGAGGGGGGAAGCGAGATCAGACATTCCTCACCTGGACCCCATGTGTCGATGTGTCGAGGTGTCCGCGGCGCACTGGGGGCCGTCTGTGCACCTCCTCAGGTGAGACCGCAGCCCTCAGGCGCCGGGCGTGGGGCGCTGGGAGAGGCTCCCAGGTGTGAACTGGCCCAGGGCTGGACTGGTCAGCCGTAGCACCAGCCTGTCACACTCAGGCCGCACTGTGGGATGTCCCGATGCGCGTCTCGGGGGACGCAGCGATTCCCAGGATGGAAGCGAGAAGCTGCGGCTGCGGAGGGGCAAGCTGATCCCCAGCGCCAAGGCCAGTGCCCAGCACGTACTGGCCGTTCAATACATATTTTTAGAAGGAATGAATGGTTCTGTGTTCCTTCTCAACCCCGGGGGCCTGCCCCTGGGACTGGTATGTGTGTGATGGGCAGGCGCGGGAGTGGGGGGGAGTAAAACACAAGGGGCGTGGTCTCAGCGGGGGAGGGACCTGCCACAGAAGAGAGCCCAGTGTGCTGCTCCTACTCGGTGGGCCAGGGCACCCCGGTGGCTGTCACTGACTTGGACCCAGTGCTGCAGAAGGAAAAATGAAGGACTGACGACCTCACTGGGTCTCGCCCGTCCTTCCCTGGCTTCCCTTCCCGAACTCCGGGTCTGCGTGTGCTCCGCCGGACCCATTAGCCCCGGGCCCGGACGGGGGGCTTCAGCCATGAGCATGGCAACACCCCGCCCCCATTCTGCTTCCCCTCTTCCAAGGCGATTTGATCTTTTCGCACATACTCCCCTCAACCTGTAGCCCCAAAGGTCAGCCCTCATGCTCTTCCAAAGCAGGGGCGGCTGCAGCCCTGGTGCTCACCGGAGAACCCAGGCTCCAGCCCGGCTGTCTTGGGGGGGTGGGGAGCCTGCAGGGGGGTGGGTGTTGGGGTACAAGGCTCCCATAGCTGGGAGGTGGGGGGATAAAGGGGAACCCTAGCCGATTCTGTAGAAGGACGAACTGTGTCTGCGGGCTTCCCAGGGGCCTGCAGGGTGGGGGTGGGTTCTCCGAACTCAAAGACGTCTGCCTTCTCCAGGAGCTGCTGCATTCACCCCGGCTTCCGGTCACCCCTCTCTTGGGGTTTTGTTTAATCCCTTTCATCTGGCAGGAGCTCTAATTGTTATACCATCACAAAAACACCTGTGGAGGTGATCTAGCTTACCGCGGTAACAGCACTGGTGATGGTTGGTGTTCTGCTGGTGCTGCTGACTCGTGGTCCAGGTCTTTGATCACCAGCCATGCTGTGGGAACTCTCACGACTGGGCAAGCTGTGCCCATTGGAAAGTTTAGCTCTCAAGACCAGCTGGAAGCCAGATGAGAAGGGTTTTCTTAGGTCCCCTCTCTAACCCGTACCAGCCCTGCATGCTCCCTGTCTCCCTGTAACACCCGCCCAGCTCCTCCAGCTCCTCCCCCAGCCTGCCCTGCTCTGGGAGGCCAAGGGCCCTGGATCTCATCAAAACCTACTTTAACCATGGGAAAGGCTAGAGTCATTCGCTTCTTTCTCTTTGCCAATTAGCAAATCCTGAGACAAACTCGAGCGAGCCCACCTCCCCCAGGAAGGCATCCCGGACTACCACGCCTGCATTAGAGAGCCGCTGTCTGCAAGGACGGACCTGCAGAAACACTGGAGCCCGTCGAATCAGGTGCCCCAGGGGCAAGGCAGGCAGCTGCAGACAGGCAGGCGGGCGTTTCTGTGTGTTATCGCCCACAAGGGGCCTGTGTTCAGTGATCAAATCAGACAGCTGTGTTGGTAGGACTTGGGGTTAATGGGTTCTAATTGCAGTCCTTCCCGCCCCCCATGCAAAGTCATGCGAATGCCTGTTCACTGACCCAAGGTGACCAATGCTCTCACGACCGGGTGCTTTGGGTCATAATGGGGACAGGGCTAACTCCTCCAGAGTGAAGGATTACTAAGGTGCATGCCCCGGTGACCAGGTCAGGGGACGACACAGCACTGATCCACTAAACAAGCCTACCAGGCACTGTGTCAGGATTCAGGGAAGCTGCGATGGACAACCGTCTTAGTCGGCTCAGGCTGCATAACGCAATAGCACAGACTGCAGGCTTAAACAGCGCCGTCTGGAGGCTGGAAGGGCCAAGATCAAGGTGCTGGCCGGTTGGTTCCCAGCGAGGGCCTTCCTGGCTTGCAGATGACCACCCTTTCTCTGTGTCCTCTTATAGTGAGAGAGAGGGCACGAGAGAGTGTTCTGGTCTCTCTTCCTCTTCTTAAAGAGACACTAATGTCACCAGGAGGTCCCCAATCTCACGACCTCATCTAAACCTACCTCCCAAAGATCCCGTCTCCGAATGTCATCATGTTGGTGATCAGGGCTTCAATTTATGAATTTGCAGAGGGACACAATTCAGTCAACAGCGGTCACAGACCCTACCCTTGAGGAGCTCGTGGACCTTCACGGAAAATCGTTCCAATACACGGCTTGGAACAGTCTATACAGCCAGCTCTCGAATCGTCTATATAGATCGTCCCAGCGAGGCTCTCTTAGCGAGGCTTCCTTGTCCACCATCTCATTTCGACTCACCACGAGTCAGGGACCTCGGTGGGCGGTGAGACAGGGAAGGGGCGTGGGGACGGTGGGACTTGTCTGCCAGGTCGTGCTACAAATCGACGGCAGGTCCCAGACCTCCTGGTAGCCCAGACCTCTTCTACTGTTATAATCACAGGCTTCTCCGAGGGAGGCCCGGCATTGTCAACTTCAATGTTCATTCCCCTTCCTTTTAAAATAATAAAACTAGGTCAGAGAGTATTCGAGAAGAGGCACACTATAGAATCAAAGCCAAGGTCAGACCCATCCTAGTGGTCTATAATTCAAAATGCTCCAGAGCACGCTGAGATTAAAGGGTGGCCCAGGGAAACGGAAAAGCACCATGAGTAAATAAATCAAGATCTTGAAGAGCTTGTATGCTGCCCACAGCCAGGTGAGGGCGGAGCTGCAGTGTGACCCGCAGCCGAGCCGCCAGCAGGCCAGGTGAGCTCGGCGGAGCTGGGGTTGTGGGAACTGCCTGCATCATCCTTGTGTTTCAGTGTTAGGAGCAGGCTGGGAGCTAAGAAAAATGACGTAGATCCTCAGAAAATGGTTGTCCTCGGGCAAGCAGATGGGCTTCAAGTCAGAGACGAGGGGGTCCGCCTCTTTGCGGGGATTTGCTTCCCCACTGCCCAGCCCCAGGGAGCTGTCTGAGGAGACAGGGGATGAGGTTAGAGGGGCAGTGGCGGGGAGAGCACCCGGTGGGAGTGGGGGACACTGCTGAGACCTTTTATTTTTTATGCAGTAGGTTTGGTAAAAAACACCCTTGACCTTTTGGCAAGAGGAGGAGGGTCGGGGCCCCAAACAGTATGTTCTCATATATCGCTGCTCATACCGGATCCCGGCACAGAAGAGACGGAAATGAATGGTATCCCACAGCTTGTCCCCTGGGGTAACAAGAGAAAGGTGTCTCCTAGGTTACTCCGATCTGGGGGGGAGGGGGTGTCCTATACCAGCGCTGTCCGGTAGAACTTTTGTGATGATGAAAAAGTTCTATGTGCCGCCCGATACCACAGCCACACGTGGCGATTGAGCACTTAAAATGCGGCGAGGGAGGCCGAGGAATTGAATTTTAAATCGTATTTGATTTTAATTAATTTAAATTTAAAGAGCCACACGCGGCCATTGGACAGTCCAGCCCTGAGGATTGTGCTCCTGTTGAGAAGCAGAAAGGCTGGCTCTCTCCCTGGCCACTCCCTCCCCCCAACGAGAAAGAGCTTTTCTTGTTGTTGGAAATAGCGGATGGGGCCAGATAGTTCTGGGGCTAACTCATTCTAGCTTTGTCGCTGAAGCTGTGGGACTTGGGCGAGGAGTCTATGCGAAGCATGTCGTGTGGGGCCTGGCACACAGCAGGCGCTCAGGAAGTGGTAGCTGTCATTGCTGGGGTCAGCGGCGAGCGTGGCTGCTCACACAGCATCTGCAGCAGTGGCGGTGGTGGCACCGTGCAGAGGGGAGGAAAGCGTCCCCAGACAGAGCCCTGTCTCCATCCCCGGGGGCAACGACCCCGCCCCGGCCGTAAGCAGGCCCCTGCAAGTTTAGGGACCTGGGGAAATTGATGTTGTCAGTCACGTTGTGGGTTTTAATTTCAAAGCAAGAGAACTTTGGAGCAAATGTGACATCTCCAGGTGAGTCTCTGCTGGCCTCCCAGCCCGAAGCCGTGGCAGGGGCTGTAGCTGTGCCTGCGGCTCCTCGCTGCTTCCATGGACTCAGCACCCTGCCTGGCCGCCATAGCTCTCGGGGACCACTTGCAGACATGGGCTGAGGACCTCTTGTGTGCTGGCCACGTGGGATCCAGAGATGCTGAAAACACAGTCCTAGCACACACCTGGAGGGCAAGCAGAGGTGTGCTGAATCCCAGCTTGAAGCCAGCACAAGGTGCTTAGTTAGGAGAGGGATGTTAGTGACCGCCATCCAGTCCGGGGACATGGGAGGAGCTGGTCATGGGAGGTGGTTGTCCAGCTGAACAAAGCCCTGGGGATGTGGGCTGGAGCAGGAGCGGCTGGAGGATGACCAGGCTTCTGTCTGTGAGAGCAGCGGGTCTAGAGCTGTCCAAGGCCACACACAGGGTGATGGCTGTCCATCTGGCTGCCCCTAGGGGTGGGGTGGGGGATACAGTGCAGGGCCTTGGGCAGGGCTCCACGGAGCTGTACATGCCTCCACCCACGAGGGGGCCACGGGCCAGCTGTCGTCTGGGACACCATGGCTGTGTGCAGCCCAGGCCTGCGTTAGGGTCCAGAGTCCAGCTGTCACAGGAGCCTGGCGGAGTGGCGGTGATCGACCTGCTGGCCCGTGGCCCTGCCTGCACAGAGAGGTGTGGCTGTGTTTGCAGAATGTTTCCACGTTGCCATTCTACTCGGTTCACCACAGCATGTGACAGCGTTGAGGGGGGGACATGGGAGGGGGTGCATGTGCACGAAACCACAGAGATGAAGTGGCTCCATGGGACTCCCGCGGTGGCAGAATGAACGGAGGCCTCCCGCGGTCTCGGGCCCGCGGCCTGCCCACTGAGAGGGG